CACAATAGGATATACTGGCTCAAAATTGTTGGTGTAGCAAAGGCGTGAGTTGTTGCTCCCTAAAAGTGTTTTTTGTCCATCGCATTGGTATACATTCTGATTGAAGATTTCATATTCTTGAGTTGAACTCGAGGCAATGTAGTTCCCATGAACAAGTGAATTCTTGAATAGTCTTTTTGTCTATACTGATTCAATCAGTTTATGCATCGTGACACTTTTTCTTTTTTGTGAAAAGTCATTCATGTGAGCGCACAGAACTTGGATCATGGATGTAATGGAAAGATTTTGTTTTCATTGCTGAAAGTGCTCGCATTATTTCAATACTGAATTCTTTGTTGGGATTATATGATATCCATGAGCTGAACAAAAATTAATCAAGTCCTTTCCAACACAAAAAAGCAAAATATGCCAGCTTTTACTGCACTTCAAAAAACACTCTTGGTACAAATTTTACTGATACAAATATGACGACACACTACAGGATTACAAAAAGGTTTATATCAAAAGGAAGATATCAAGTCTTTATCTCTCCATCTCGAGAGATTCACCTAGAGGCAAAAAGATGGAAAGCACAGAGTTAATCAGTGATGAAATCCAACTTTTGGAAATTTGATAACAACTTGATCATCTTTCGTAGGTGACTTACTCGTTTATGCGGAAGATACTGTGTTGGGTAGCTTTCCCATTGATACTCTCCTTCTTTTCAAGTTTCACGGTAGGATTTCTGGGCATCCTGAACGACTTCCTAGATATCTCTGGGGTACGAGGGGGCGTGATTGGCGACTTGCGATGGTAAGGGCTGACAGTAACTTTTCTTTGCCTGGTCGGTTTTTGTAAAGAGTGAGCAGGCCGTTGTATTTTTAATGCCAAAAGCTTTTCTGTTATGTGATCGTCTGGTGATCTTGAAATCTTCGACGTATTACGTTGATCATCTAATTTCGAAAATCGAACCGGATGAAGAGAGCTTTTGTCTATACATATTTTGAAAAAAGTATTAGGGAATTTTGGGAGAGGTGGTTGTACGATGAGGGAAAATACATAGTCAGTATGATTGTTAATGTTCATTTTCGGAGATTGTGATTACCTGTATATTCTTGTGAAGATTTGATATGCTCTGTAACATTGATACTGTTAGATTCTTTAGTAGACTGGGCGATGAAGTTTGATGGTGCCATTTTTACGTTGAGAGTTATTGAAGTGATTGGAGAGTGGGTTAAACAATGGATGTTTGTTTTTGAAAATTGTGATGGAAGTGGATTGATCGAGGAAGAAGTCTGACCTATGAAGGAACTTCAAAGATTCGTTGCTTTATATAAGAACTATGTGGGTGCCTGAATGCCACATAGATGTCAGCGATCAAAGCGTTAACCGTCTCATAAAATCAACAATTATCAACCACGCGATGATAATTATCATCACACTGGAATCTGGCCAATCAGCATCCAGTATTCTGGGAACACGTTACAATAGATGGCTGTGAGGATTGTTCACGTCCTGCGGTGATGGGAAGCTCGGGGGGTTGAAGCGTTGGGCAAAATATTGAGTGGTTTAGTTCGGAATCGTGATGTATGAGTTACTGGGTCGGAATTGCGGGGTCTTTTGAATTTGGGGACAGCTGCAAAATATACCAGTGTGGTCCTGTGCAAGAAGATGGTCACCAAGCTTATCAAGCAAGAGGAATTTAACTGATCAAAAGCGAAAGGTGTCAAAGATACGTATTCGCATCCTCCTGAATTGATGATCAGAAGTCCAAGCAACCCAATCGGACAATGTTGGGTATTGAATGTTGCAAATGCTTCAACAGTCTTTGTCTTAGGGCTATTGGTATGGATCACTGCCATCAAGCTGTTGTCAGCGCGTAACACAACTATGACCCAGACAAATCAGAATTCGGATGCGAAAGAGACAGAAAATCATAAGTCATTGTCCAAACATTTATTTTGATATTTGACCAATATGATTACCGATGAAGAAGTCTGTTTCTATACGAAGGAAATCAGAAGTCAGTATTTAAATGACAATGTTAATATTAGACAAGTGTCATTACCTATGCATGATTGTGGACTCTTGAGGGTCTCTGCAACATTGTCATGTTTGGATTGCGAGGCAGGCTGACACAGATTGTTAGACAAAGACATGTTTTAATTGAGGTAAAATATCAGGAGCTGGCTAAGGTAATGGATAGTTGATGTCTTGCAAATTGTTGAATTTGGGTAAAGTGGATTGGATTTACGTGAAGAAGAAGTCTTAATGAGGGAAAGTCAAAAGATCAGACGGTTTATGCCAGAGCTCCTTGGGTGCCTGAATTCAATGTTTCAAGAAATGAAGCAATCAAAGTGTCAACCGTCTTATATTGTCACACTAAAATCTGGCCAATCATCATTGATGCTTCTGGTAACGTGTTTCAGATGGCTGTGACGATCACGTCCTGCAATGGTGGGAATGCAAGGGTCAAGCCAATATGCAAAATGTTGAGTAGTATTTTTTGGAATCATGATGTATGAGTCTATGAGTTACTTGATCCAAATTGCAAGGTTTTCTAAAGACACTGAAGAACATATTCTGAGAGGTGGAGCAGAGACCAATCATTATCAGATTCAAGACGGAAAAAATCCGGTCAAAGGAAAGTTGGGTAATATGTGCTATTCCATGTAAAATTTGGCAGCCTGAGCCATCCTTGGCTTCATTGTCCATGTTTCAAGAGTGCAAAAATAAGATCATCACATCACCAGGTTGATGATGTGGCACATGCAACTATGGAGTTG